ACACACCAGGGGCATGTTAGGGCGCTTTTAGTTTCGAAAAGACATTCTGTTCCCAATCCACTCACATTGATGGATAATCACATCTGTCCAAAATTTCAGCCAATGCTTCCACTGGAATTGATTCCAGGACACTAGAAGTGCCATCTTTAGGTTTGAGAGGAGGGTCCATCTGAAAAATGGTCCAAAAATTAAAAATGGCATGAATAAGCTTGAAAATCGTCTTAAAATACCGTAAACACTCTAGAACATTGAACGCCACCCAAACCGTCAAATTTAAGTCCCAGGTATCTCGTTATCTGTGAGAGATGTCAGAAAGTGGTCAACTGATAAAATGTAGTTGATATCATGATAAACATTTTATTAGTTAACAACTTTTTGATATCTTTTACAGTAACCGAAATAATTGAGCTTGAAGTTAAGAGTCCTAAAATATAGGATCGCTCCCTGACAGTCAACTTTGAGCTTAATTATCTTGGTTCCTATCAGAGATATCAAAAAGCGGTTAACTGATAAAATGTAGCTGATATCATGATAAATATTTTATTAATTGACAACTTTTTGATATCTTTCAAAAGAAGTGAGATATATAGGCACAAAGTGGACGGTCCGTGTGGCTAGCTTGTGCTCATAGCTTGTTGGCCCTTAAATAGATGAAAAATGGTCCGAAACAGTTCCAAAATGACTAAATCCAGCCAAACGTTTGATTAAAAATGCGTTAATTAGTCAAAACTTGAGTTTGGAATGCCGAAAATTGGCCAAAATGGCTTCAAATTGCTTAAAATTGACCTAAAATTGACCGAAAATGGTGAAGAATAGCCTAAACGCGCATAACGTCACTAAAAATGCGCTGAACGGACGAAAAGTTGCTCAAAACCTGCCCAAGTCAAAAAATAAGGGAATTGAGCCCCACTCACCGCTGCTCCACATCAATTTTCGGCTGGAGCCAAGTTGGAGAGACGAAGAAAGAAGAAACAAGAGAGTGTAAGAAATTGAGAGGACGCAGAGATGTTCAGAAATAAGAGAAAGTATAAATCTTGTGTGTCAGAAGACGATGAAGACGTCATGCATCTCAAGGGAGATTTGAAAAAAATTTGGACGTTTTTTTCCAATTTTTGTAATTTTTCTGCAAAAAATTTCGAAATTTTTTAGAATTTCTGAATTTCTGAATATTTGATTTATCGAATTTTTTAATTTTTATGATTTTCAGGTTCACAATGACCAAAAAACCCAAAAATCTTCTCGATTTGCCGGAGATTCCAATGAGAAAAGTTATGGATCTTTGCACTTTTTCTGAGCAGTAAATCATTTTTTTCAGCCCAAAATTCATGAAAAATGGACCAAAAATCCTGAAAAAAAAGTTTTAAAACCCTAAAAGTAATCCAAAAATCAGGAAAAAAGGCCAGAATTTTTGAAAATTAGCTCAAAAAGTTTTTATCCTTTTAAAACTGGAAATCCGGAATCCTGGAATCCGGAAATCCGGAAATCCAGAAACCCAGAAGTCCGGTAATCCGGAAATCCAAAAATCCGGAAATCCGAAAATCCGGAAATCTGGAAATAAAGAAATCCAGAAATTCGAAAATCCTGAAATCCGGAAATCCGGAAATCCAGAAACCCAGAAACCCAGAAGTCCGGTAATCCGGGAAATCCCAAAATCCCGAATGGATATAAACTAAAAAAGGATAAAAAACTTTAAAAAAATGGACCAAAAATGATGAAAAATCACTCAAAAAATCTGAAATTTTCAGCCAAATCCTCCTCCAAACGTCCCACAGCCTCCAGGACAAAATTCTGGAATCGAAATCATATCCAAAAATGAAATCAATAAAAATCGATTATGATTTCGAAAAAATAGGTCCAGGATTATCGGAAGGCTTCAAATTCCTACTTTTAGAATTTCAAGATTCGCGGGTTTCAGAAATTTGGAAATTTTTTAAAATTCACAAAAAATCGATTAATTCCGGATGTAAAATTCAAAAATTTCAAAATTTTGAAAATCAAAAACGCGAGGAAGTTTTTGAATATGAATTCCAAAAAATAGTAATTAATTTTTTAAAATTTCAAAAAATTCCACTTGAAATTTTTTTCTTTAAATTTGTCTGAAAATCTGAAATTCCCCGAAAATAGTTTTTTGAAAACTCAAAAATTGGAATTGTTTTTCGAAAATTCCTCAGAAATTTCCGCTGAAATTTTGAACATTTTCGCTTTTATAGACCCGGATTTTTTGAAAATTTTAACTTTGAAAATTGAGAGTTCTGGGAGTTTCTCCAGAATTTTCCAGAGAAATTTTGAAATTCGCGCAAAGGAGAAATTTGAAAAAAATGGAATTTGAGGGATTTAAAATTTTGGATCCATGATTTTTTTGGACTTTTTTGGAGAAATTGAAATTCGATAGGGATCCAAGGACCCAGGGACCCAGGAATCCAGGGACCCAGGACCATGGACCCAGGACCCAGGACCCAGGACCCAGGACACAGGACACAGGACCCAGGACCCAGGACCCAGGACCCAGGACCCAGGACCCAGGACCCAGGACCCAGGACCCAGGACCCAGGACCCAGGACCCAGGACCCAGGACCCAGGACCCAGGACCCAGGACCCAGGACCCAGGACCCAGGACCCAGGACCCAGGACCCAGGACCCAGGACCCAGGACCCAGGACCCAGGACCCAGGACCCAGGACCCAGGACCCAGGACCCAGGACCCAGGACCCAGGACCCAGGACCCAGGACCCAGGACCCAGGACCCAGGACCCAGGACCCAGGACCCAGGACCCAGGACCCAGGACCCAGGACCCAGTAACCGAGATATATTTGATCGAAGTTACAAATCGATTTATGTCATTTGTTGGCGGTTTACAGTACAAACCTGGAAAAATTGCAATTATTTCATCAGGAAAACAAAAAGAATAAGAAATTAAACAGGATGAATTTTGTTGAACGATGGATTTGGAATCGGACTGCGCATTGGAGTAAACATTTCCATGGAACTTTGCTCTTCTGGATTTTCCACAAAACGATTTTCCCTATATTGTTCAATGCAAAGCATGCAAATGTACAGTAATCCGGAAATCAAACAGCTCAAGAGGAAGAAGATGAATACCATAAGGACCATGACGTAGAATGGGACCTGGAAGTTTTGAATTTTTGAATTTTTGAATTTTTGAATTTTTGAATTTTTGAATTTTTGAATTTTTGAATTTTTGAATTTACCTCATTAACATTCGAAGTTTTTGATTTGCCAGTCGTTTGGGTTACTGTAGTTTGAATTGCAAAAATTGCAATAACGAGAAAAATGAGCAATGGTTTCATTTTTCTGAAATTTCGCTTTTTTTTCAAATTTAGGAAAATTTGACAAGCAAAAAGAGAAAAAAAACAATGGGGGAAAATTAGAAAAATAGAAAAAGAATGGAATACTGTTTAAATAAATTTCGAAAAATTGGAAAATTTTGTTTCGAAATTCTTTTTAATCGAATTTTTCGGAAAAAATATGATTCATAATTGTTTACAATTTGTGATTTTTTGTCATTTTCAAGCTGTTTTACCAAGGTGGCCTAGAAAACCCATCTTGCGAAAGTTAGGCCATCATGATAAAATGGCCTAGAAAACACCCTAAAAGCATGTGAGACCATTTTCAGGCTATTTTACCAAGGTGGCCTAGAAAACCCATCTTGCAAAAGTTAGGCCATCATGTCAAAATGACCTAGAAATCACAACAGGGGCATGTGAGGCCATTTCTAGATCGTTTTACCATGGTGGCCTAGAAAACCCATCTTGCGAAAGTTAGGCCATCATGATAAAATGGCCTAGAAAACACCCTAAAAGCATGTGAGACCATTTTCAGGCTATTTTACCAAGGTGGCCTAGAAAACCCATCTTGCGAAAGTTAGGCCATCACTTCAAAGTGACCTGGAAAACAAACCAAGAGCATGTGAGGTCATTTTTATATGGTGGCCTAGAAACTTACAAACGTTAGGCCACCACTTCTTTTATTTGTCTTTCTCTAAGTCTCCGAAATTTCCAATCTCTCACATTTTCTCACATTTTATGATATTTGGAAGCAATACACATGCATCACATTATACAGAAAATTATTTCTTTGTTTCGAGTATATTTTGTTCAAAAAAATCGATTTTTCAAAAGTTCAAATTGCCCAATTATCATTTTAATTAGCTGTTTGCAGACCAGACACGATACCTTACGACAATTTGAGCTAGAGCGCTAAAAATTGGTGTCCAGGGGTAGAAAAGCACGGAGAACTCGATTTTGATAGTTTGGAGCCAAAATATAGCCGTTTAGACTTAAAAATCTCAATTTTTTGATTTCAGAGACGAAATTTCTAGCTGAAACTATCAAAATCGAGTTTCCCATGTCTTTTTACCCCTGAAAACCAATTTTCAGCTCGCTAACTCAAATTGTCGTAAAATTCAGTGTCTTGTCTGCAAACACTATGATTTACGCGGTGTTTGCAGACCAGACACCGAATTTCACGACAGTTTGATCTAGCAAGTTTAAAATTGGTTTGCAGGGGTAAAAAAGCACGAGGAACTCGATTTTGATGTTTTCGAAGCAGAATTTTGGCTCGGTAACCTAGAAACATAAGATTTCCCTACCTAAACCTTTAATTTTCGGCTTCAAACTATAAAAATCGAGTTCCCCATGATATTTTTCTCCTGGAACCCCTTTTTCAACTCTCTATCTCAAATTGTCGTGAAATCTGGTGCATGGTCAGCGTGTTTGCAGACCAGACACCATACCTTACGACACTTTGAGCTAGAGAGCTGAAACATGGTTTCCAGAGATAAAAAATTATGGGAAGCTCGATTTTAATAGTCTCGAACATCAAAAACGGTTAGAAATAGTTGAAATTCGAAAATTCGAAAATTTTCAGAAGCTCATGTTCGACACCTTGTTGGCTAAGGAGATGAGAGCAAAAATCTCCGAGCTCTTCGATAAAATGGACCAAAACTCTGAAAATTAATTAACATTTTTCTGAGAAAAAATTTAATAAATGTGTTAATTTTTGAATTTTTTTTTTGAATTAAAAAAAGTTTATTATCAACAAAGCACAAAACAAAAAATACAGTAAGAAAGTTACTACAGTAATTTTTTCCAAAAAAAAAAATCACATAATGCATCCATCAAAAAAGTAGGGTACATCATCTGGAAGTGGGGCGAAGACGTTTCCCAGATTTGTTGAATTCAGAACCAAACGAGTCGGATCGATGTCTCCGAAGACGTTGAGGCCTTCAGAAGTTTTAGAAGACGTGGATTCTGGAAAAAAAATTTTTTGGCAAAAATTGTGATTCTTGAATCTAATATGAGTTTCGATACTTAAATTTTCAATTTCAGCACAAAATTTGACTCTAGGAATCATTTTCTGAAAAAAATTCGAAAATTCAAAAATTCAAAATTTTTTCTAAATTTTTTTTTTCCAAAAAAAAAAGATTTCTGGACCAAAATTTGCTGTTTAAAACCAAAAATCAGCGTCTCATCGCCCGAAAATTACATTTTCCTCACCTTTTTGCTCCTCAAACTCTTTGAATTGTTCATAAAAATCTTCTTCCACATTTTTCGGTGCATAGCACAATTTTTCATAGAAAAACTCCTTCAAATCCCCGATTTTGTACATTTCAGCAAGCTGAAAATCCTCACAATGCATTCCAGAAATCACTTCAATCTCTTCAACGAATTCTAGAATTTTCTGGAATCTCTCCTCGAAATTTTGAACTCCGTGGGATTGGTACCAGATGGAGAGATGGGTTTGAGCCCATTTTCGACGTTCCTCCATGAAGATTTGTGTAGTTTGGGATACTGTAGAGTTGGCTGAAAACATTTGCTATCATTTGCAGTTTGAGTTTTAAAAATTGATCAAAAATTGAAAAAGTTACAGTTTTGAAAAAAAATTCCAAAAATTTGTTTTTTTAATTTTTTCAAATTACTGTAATTTTATCAATTTTGGCTCGATTTTTGAAGTTTTTGTACCAAATTAAAGCTCTCAAAGTTTTTCTATTGTTACTTTTTTGAATTTTAAAAATTGGTCAAAATCTCAAAAAGTTACAACATTTTGAAATTTTGAAAAAAAATTCCAAAAATTTTTTTTGGAAATTTTCAAATTTTTGTAATTTTTTCAATTTTGGCTCGAATTTTGAAGTTTTTTTAACAAATTAAAGCTCTTCAACTTTTCTGTAATATTCTTTTTGAATTTCAAAAATTGACCGAAAATTCAAAAAGTTACCAATTTTTGAAATTTTTTGAAAAAAGAATTCCAAAAAAAATTTTTTTTGGAAATTTTCAAATGTTTGTAACTTTGTCAATTTTGGCTCAATTTTTGAAAATTTAGTATGAATAAATTGCAAATTTTGTGGGCTTTAAGGTAGAATTAAATTATGTGAATAATTCTAAAAAAGCAAGTTTGAAAACACGCTCTAATTGCCAGAAATTGCCTAAAATGGATCGATTGGGTCAATAAATGGGGGTCAAAATAGAAATTTCAAAAAATTCAAAAACAATTCTCAATTTAAACTTTACAGCTAAAACTGAAAATTCAAATTTTAAAGTTGGAAAACTCACCAGAATCGCTCCACAGCAACATCAAATGCATGAACACGATTTCGGCATCGGTGATTTTGATATCGACGAACGGATTGATGATTTTTGACCAGAATCTGTCAAATGTTCTGGAGAAGCATCTGGAGAAAGTTGAGAAATTAATAAGATAGTTCAGAGATCTTTTTAAAAATTTTCAAAAGTTTCAATTTGACTCCATTCCAGGGCTCAATCGAGCATTTTTGGCTGTTTTTGACTCTTTTATCATTAGAGCACGTTTTCAGAGTCAAAGTTTCAAAATTTTTAGAACAATTGACTGTTATCATTGAACTCAAAAAATTTGCTATCTATTGATATGGAAAATTACAGAAATTGAGATAAAATTGGACAAATTACAGAAGTTTGAAAATTTTACAAAATTTTTTCAAAATTTTTTTTCAAAATTCCAAAGTTGTGTAACTTTTTGAATTCTTAATCAATTTTGAAAATTCAAACTGGATACAATAGAAAATTTTAATAGCTTCATTTTGATAAAAAATTTCTGAAAATTGAGCCAAAATTGGCAGAATTACAATGATTTGAAAATTTCGAAAACAACAAAATTTTTGGATTTTTTTTCACAATTTCAAAATTTTGTAACTTTTTGAATTTTTGATAAATTTTTGAAATTCAAAATCTCCAATTTTAACTCACTTTCTCTTGCCCCAAATCTGTTGCTCATCATCATCAATCAGCTCGAATCCAGTCCTATTTTCAGGCACAAAAGTGAAATTATTCATCACAAATTCCCGATTTTTACATTTTTCCGGAAACTTCGATGCACTATAAAAATGGTCCAAACTCAATTTTTTGACCGAATAATTCTTTATAATTATCGATTTTTCGGATTCCGCCAGTTCTTTGTAGCCTTTTTGCAGTTCTAGCCAGTACAGTAATCCAGAAAATTCGACTTCAGATAGGTTTTTCAAGTCTGTAGGCTCCAATTTTCTCAATCTTTTGGATTTTGGGGGTTCAGAAGCTTCAGAATCTTCTAGAAATTGCAATTGCATGAGTTTTTGATGAAGAGCATAGGAGAAGACGAGCTCATTGAATTCCGATTGCTCAGCGTTAATTGGAGTGGTTGACATTTTTGAGGGATGAATCTGAAAAAAGGGGAAAATTAAAGATTTCTAAATTTCAGTTTGAATTTACGAATTCTAGACCAAAATGTTGCACCGAAATCTTGATTGACCGTAATACCTGTAATAGAAGGGCCCCCTCCCTAATTCTCAATTTTGAGCCAATTTATCTTGGTTTCTGATAAAGATATAGAAAATTTGTCAACTGATAAATTGTTTATCATAATATCAGCAACATTTCATTAGTTGATTACTTTTTGATATCTCTGATAAGAACCGAGATAATCAAACTCAAAGTTGACTGTCATAGAGCGACCCTATATTTTAGGACCTTAAACTTTCAGCTTAATTATCTCGGTTCCTGTAAGAGATATGAGAAATTTGTCAACTGATAAATTGTTTATCATAATATCCGATACATTTTATCAGTTGACACATTTTTGATATCTCTTATAGAAGCTGAGATAATTGAGCTTAAACTTGACAGTGGGGAGGGCCCTTCTATTAGAGGCTTTACGGTAACATCATCTGAAGGTTTCTAAAAGCAAAGTTTCGAAATCAAAATTTTGTGCTGAATTCAAAAATTTATGTTTCAGAACTCAAAAATCAAGATTTTGAGGTAAAACGTCAATAATAATGTTGTTTCGAAAACATGAGGCAGAAAAAAAACCAAGAATGACATACTCTAAGAAAAAAGGACCGGAAAACAATCCTATTGATTTCGCAATCAATAATTGAATGATTTTCCCATTGTTTATTTATGGGCCCCCCAACCCCACCTGCCAAGGACAATTATACGGGTCAATAAGGGATTTTTGCCTTTTGGGAATCAAAAAATCCGGCTCTTTTCTAGTTTAGAGGTCCCAAAAAAAAATTAGAGGTCCCAAAAAAGTTTAGAGGTCCCAAAAAAAAATTAGAGGTCCCAAAAAAAAATTAGAGGTCCCAAAATAAAATAGAGGTCCCAAAATACGAAAAACGCGCAGATGTTGGAATAATGTACTAGTATTTGAACTGTGCGAGTAGTTTGAGTTTTAAGGTCTTATAGGATGACATGACTACTCCTAACAATTTTAGCTCCAATTCTCTCGCATCTTGCCGATGAACCCGATTTACATATGAGGAAAATTTAGGCAATACAGTAATCACTCCGTGATTATGCTGTTTCTCAGGCTTATATAATTGTCAGAAAATATGCATTCCTAAGCCTATTAGAAGTATAAAATATATCATCAACAATTATTTTGCTATAAGACCTCAAAACTTTAAATTCTTACACAATTCAAATTTTAGTACATTATTCCGGTATCTGTGCATTTTTAAGTTTTGGACCTCTATTTTTTCTTGGGACCACTAAACTTTTTTGGGACCTCTATTTTTTTTTGGGACCTCTAAACTAGAAAAGAGCCAAAAATCCTATGTATATTATTCTTCTAGTTGTACCTTCCTAGAGGGGGACCGTGAGCCTAAGTTCGTGTTTTTTAGACTGAACATTTAACTCCTCAATTTTCATAAATTTCACTTATGTTAAGCATGTTAAGAGCTTCAAAATGAATATAAAAACATTACAATTCAATAATTTGAAAAACTTGAAATTTGAGATTTTGGCGCCAAATGAATTTTTCAGAATTATGAGAAGAAACTGCCAAAAAACTTTCTCAGCTTTTGAGCAAACTTAATCCGGTCTAGATTTTAAAGTTTCTCATGTTTCAACGGTCTGAACATGACCATATTTAGCGAAAGTTTAGTTTTTTAACGCCACCCGGACTGTCCAGTGTCCAATTTGAGCTTATATATCTCATTTCTTTTAAAAGATATCAAAAAGTTGCCAACTGATAAAATGTTTATCATGATATCAGCAACATTCCATCAGTTGACTACTTTTTGAAATCTCTCACAGAAAATGAGATACATGGGCTCAAGTTTAAACGATTCGGATGGCGTTCTATTAGAGTGTTTACGGTATTTTTGTTCTCAAAATAAGGCCATGATTTTCGCATCTGAAAATTGATTTTCCGAGTTTAAATAGCTGAAAAATAGCTGGAAAATCCCGATTTTCAGCTGAAAATCCATCAAATTTGTCCAAAAATGACCGAAATAGGCTAAAAAACAAATATTTCACAGCCAAAACTGAATTTAGTGCCGAAAATAGGATTTTAGCTGGAAAAACTGCATTTTAGGCTGAAAATAGCTGAAAATACTCATTTTCAGTTAGAAAAATCGCAATTTTCAGCATAGAATTTATTAAAATTCAAGTTTTCCGTCTAAAAATGACTAGTTCCAGCCAAAATTTACCAAAAATAGGCTGAAAATGATTTTAGAGTCAAAAAATCAATTTTAGTCCAGAAATGTCGAATTTTCAGCATAAAATGATCGAAAATAGCTGGAAAATCCCGATTTTCAGCCAAAAATCATATATTTCAGTACAAATTTTTGAAACAAAGCAATGGGGACTTTCATGAACAAAACTTTTTTTTTTTTTTTGAAAAAAATGTATGCGTCTTATCTTATCAGTGTTGAAAAGTGTAAAAAGTGTAGAAGAGGCTTAAATATAGGATTACGGTCAAAAATTACTGTTTGAAAAAAATGAAGAAAAAAAAAACTTTTTTTCAAAATTTTAGTATAAAAACGCTGGAATTTTCGATTTTCAATTTCTTGGAAATTCAAAAAAAATACACAAAAAAAGGATTTATCTAGTTAACAGACAAAAACAAAAATCGTGAAACATTTTAATCCACTTCAACCACACGACGCTCAAATTCTGGATCCCTTTTTCACGCATTGATCTGAAAATTTGAATTAAATTTAAATTTTAAATTTAGATTAAATTGAACCAATATATAATTAAAATTGAAAATTATTCAAATTTGAACCTTTTGAGTTCAAAATAAGCCCAAACAAGCCAATACGGGTCCTTAATTTTTGCTACAGTAATCCAAAACATTTGAAAAAAACACTTTTTGAGTTTAGAACGTTGAGAGCTTCAAAATGAGTATAAGCATGCCTTGTTTTGATGAATTTTGAAAATCTACAGTAATCCCGATTTCAAAGGCGCGGGGGTCAAATAATAAAATATTGCTGATATTGTGATAAATAATTTATCAATTGACTACTTTTTGATATCTCTAATAAGAATCGAGATAATTAAGCTCAAGCGACAGCAGCACGCGAAATGCGCCAAGCCAATTTCGACGCTTGAACTTTCAGCTCAATTATCTCGGTTCCTATAAGAGATATTAAAATTTAGTCAACTGATAAAATGTTACTGATATTGTGATGAACATTTTATCAGTTGACTACTTTTTTATATCTTTAATGGGAAGTGAGATAATTGAGCTCAAACGCGCCATCAGCACTCGAAGTGCGCCAAACCGAATTTTGGCGCACGAACTTTAAGCTCAATTATCTCAGTTCCCATAAAAGATATTAAAATTTTGTCAACTGATAAAATGTTGCTGATACTATGATAAACATTTTATCAGTTTACAGGTTTTTGATATCTGTCACAGGGACCGAGATAATTGAGATTTTCTCAGGCATACCATCTCCCACATAGTTTTAATCTCTATTCTTTTTGCCAGTTGTCGTCTACGGATATTGATTTCTTTCAGTAAATTTTCCTTGTCGAACGCTGCTCCTTTTTCTGTAAATTTTTACTGAATTTGACTGAAAATGAGCTAAAAAATCTGAAAATTAGGCGAAAAATGGCGTCAAAGCCCAAAGAAAAATGTTGGTGGCCCAGAATTTTCAAAAACTCGGCCATGGGTCAAAAATTGGTTTGAAAGCGATTTTTTCAAAATTTTTTGGTTATTTTAAAGGCGCATGGCCTCTTTTTTGTCAAACTAACCAAATGAAAATACATTAATGATGATCAAAATTATCCAATGGACATTTCTTATTGTCAACATTCTTTTTAGCTGAAAATTTTTGAAATTTTCTGGAATAAAATAATTTTTTTTAAAGTTGTGATCTGGATTTTTTTCTGTGAAGAAATCCAACTGAATTCCAGCTTTTAAATATTTTTTGGGTTAAAATTTAAAAAAAAAATTAAAATTTCAAAAAATTTTTTTAATTTCGAAAAAAAACTTTTTTTCAAAACTATGCCATGTTTATGCTCATTTGAACCGGCTCAATTTGCTGAGTTCAAAAATACAAAAATTTCTGGGTTTGGACAAAAATGAGCAATGTTATGAGCAGTTTTGTCTGAAAATTTCAGGTTTTCCGAAAAAAAAATTTTTAACATTTTTTTTCAAAACTATGTCATGTTTATACTCATTTTGAAACTCTTGACTTGACGAATTCAAATTTTCACAAATGAGCAATTCCAGATTACTGTAGTTACTGTAAAAAGTGATATTCCAGAAAACTCTGTACACCTCTGATGGCTATGAGAGAGGACGTCTTCAGCATGCGGAATTGCTCAAAGAATGTTTTGGAAAATGCGAAATTATTGATTATTAGCCACTTTTGACCCGAAATTTCACAGATTTAACCCAATTTTTCGGTGATTCAGGAATTTCAGCCTTGAATTCTTTTCTGTACATGGATTTAGGCTTGTTAGACCCATTTTTAGAGATATTTTTGATAATTTTTATTATAAATTATTTTTTTTGTGTTTTTCTCTGTGTTTTAGCTAGAAAATTGTCTTTTTCAGGCTTTGAAACCATAGAAACCACTTTTTAAATTCAAATTCTCCCCTCTTCCTCCAATTCGAAAAGTCCGCAATTGCGCGTCGGGTAGAGCGCAAGTGCAGAAATCGCAATAAAAATGCCTCCGGATTTTCTAATTTTCCTCGTTTTTCATCGTTTAAAGTCATTTTTTCGGGAAAACAAGCTGGAAATTCATGAAAATCATGAAAAACTAAACAAAAACAGTCGAAAAATAACAAAAATTCGTCGAAAATGATGCAAAAACGAGATTTTTCGAGTGACAATTAAAATTTGTCTTGCAAATTGGATTTTCAGCGTTTTAAAGTTGATTTTAAATCGAAAATAGCTGAAAAATCAGAATTTTCAGCTAGTAAAACCCCTAAAGGATTGGGAAATTAGGAAAAAAAGTAAAATTTTCAAAAAAAAAATTTTTTTCAAAAAAATTGATTCTAGCTCAAAATTGTCCGAATTTTTCAGTTTTTCAGCTCATTTTTCAAATTTTCAGCCAGAAACCTTCATTTTTGTAGATTCCCCATGCTCCAAACGGGTCGACGATGCTTCTCAGTCTTGGCACGGTGCCAACCCATTGCAACGTCATCAGCGAGAGCCTATAGTACTGAAAAAGCTCAGAAAATGGAGAAAAAGGAGATTTTCGAGGTAGAAATTGTTGAAAAAATTGAAAAAAAAATAGACAGAAATCGAAAAATTCGAAAAAATTGAAAAAAATTTTTTTTTTGAAAACAGAAAATATGATTTTCACCCGATTTTGCCTGATTTTGGGTAATTTTAAGCTGAAAATTCGAATTTTAAGGCTAATTTTGACACTGGAATTCAAAATTTTTGGAGAAAATTGAATTTTTAAGTGTCAAAAATCTATTTTCAGTCATTTTTGAGCCATTTTCCCCGGGAAAAATGAATTTTCAGCTAGACGGACGTCAATACACTCCAGACGCCCTCTACAACCTCTCGCCAGCCGTTCGACGTCTTCTGGATCGACGAATCCTACAGGAGACGTCAAATCCGTTGAATTTGCTGAAGAGACGAGTCGTGGACTATGTTCATCAGACTTATAGGAAACCAGGCGAGATTTTGAGTTTAAAAGAGCTGAAAATCATGATTTTGATAGAAAAATCGATGGAAATAGACTGAAAATCATGAAAAATGGTCTGAAAATCGTCTAAAATGTGCCAAAAAGTATGAAAAAAGAGCTGAAAATGAGGAAAAACGGCTCGAAAATAGTCTAAAATAGGGTCAAAAATGCTCAGAAATAGCTCAGAATGGTCCAAAATAGTCGAAAACTGCTCAAAAATAGCCTAAAAATATCCAAAAATCATGAAAAATTGACCTAAAAATATGAAAAATGGACCAAAAATCAAGAAAAATGGACCAAAAATCAAGGAAAATGGACCAAAAATCAAGAAAAATGGATCAAAAATCAAGAAAAATGGACCAAAAATCAAGAAAAATAGACCAAAAATTATGAAAAATGGACCAAAAGTTATGAAACATGGACCAAAAATCATAAAAAATGGACCAAAAATCATAAAAAATGGACCAAAAATCATAAAAAATGGACCAAAAATCATAAAAAATGGACCAAAAATCATAAAAAATGGACCAAAAATCATA